GAAAAATGTTTAAGATACAAACCCCAAAGGGATGAAAGAAGAAAAGAAATAACAGAAATCCTTAGTGAAAGCTCAACATGAGCAATAGAACTAAGGGACAATGCGGAAGGAACTCTACAAATGGCATGCTACTAAGGCCTGACTGAAGAAAGCTTGAGGGATAAAATCCTTAAAACAGATACTCCAAAGAGAATCAAGCAGAGAACAGCCACTCTTGGAAGAAACCAATAGAAAACCTAAATACACCGGCAAATCATAAACAAGGGGTAGACAAGCTCTGCTATTGGCTTCAAAACTCAAAATCATTCGGATTACCCAACTTTTAACTGTTGAAGAGATCAAAGAAACTTCAAAATATCGGTGGTATAGAAAGGACGACAGCCGGACTCTGGAGATGGAAGAAGCAGGACATTGAATCAATAGAGGGAGAGCTACATAAACCTTTCACTACGACACCTTCTAAGCTTCCTTGAAAAATCATCTGACGCGAAACTTTCATGATATCTACCACACACTGCATCACTTTGGGGCCCTTCTATGGAAGACTTGATCTTTTGCACTGTTGTTGATAACCTCAAAAGATTTAACCTCATAAGAAAGACTATCAAACTTACCTTGTTCTCAAGCAGAAGGGAGATTAACCAGACCTTTAACCAAGCCAAAGATAATAATAAAAACTTCTGCTAAGGAAGGATCCGACAGGACTTCAAAACGATTGCCAGCCAGGTGAACCTCCCATTTGATAATGGCACCTTCATAACTTCAAGTTCTTCAAGAGTCGGATTAAAATTCCTCAATGTTTTAGTCAAACTTCTGAAAATCAGCCTGAATGCCATCTGGTTACTTTAAAAACACCTCCAAGGCAGCAAAGATTGTCTTTGAGCCCTTCCATGATAAAAATTCCTTCAAGAATTTAGGATAGGGACGAGAGAAATTCCTACCCGTTCAAAGTAAGGAGGTACTAGCTGTGCCACTTCATTTTCCAAGGTACACTTAACTAGCGTCTGCTCATTAGGATCCTTCTGATCTTGAGAAGAGAGAGAGACGTAGGGCTCCTTTTCCAAAGTGAAAAGATTGTTGAAGTCCTCTGCTAATGAAGAATCCGTAAGATCTTTGTGATAAAGCGCTTGATCATCGACCATAGGTGTAACATCTCTACTACTAATGCTCAAATTTAAATTATCCTTATCCTCATCCTCCAAAAAAGGAGAGTCCACCTGGCTTCTTCTCCTATTTTCTCTTGTCCCTAATCATAAAGTGCCCAAAATATTTTATTTCCATAACCACAAGAAGAATGTTCCAATCAACCAGATCTTAGGCTTTTTAACCACCATAGTTTGGTCTTTTAAGTTAAAAGAAGATATTTAATATTCTATAATTTTTTTATGCTAAATGCAATAGGATTAGATGATTGTACTGTAAGATTAGTTGAAATTCGCATTACTTGGTTTTCAAGAAGGAAAAAAGAGAGGTAGAGATCATATGCCTTTTATGTTGTCAATCTTCAAAACCTAAGCCTTATTCTCGAGGAATCTAAATTCATCCACCACCTCGCTAACAACCAAATCAAATCAATAATTTGCTTGTTTAATTTTAATGAAGGCTAATGGAATTTGGACATAGTCCTAGACACCACCGTTCTCAAACAACCTACCTGAACCCCGCCAAGGATTTTAAGATATAATTAACAAACTAACACAACCTTTTCTAAGAAAAAGTTTTAGAAAAAGTTTTGGAAGACTTTGAGTTGGTGAACTCTAATGATGTCACAACACTTTCTAAAATATTTCCATTTCCTCAAAGGACCTTTCCAACCAAGCCTTGTCCATGGAACTAATTGGATTTCACAGTTCCCGTCTACATTAGTTATGTAACTTTTAGCAGTAGTAAAGGTTTTGGAAGTTGTTTACTGTCTTTAATTTAATAGCTTGATCCTTGGAAAGGCTAGATCCTCCTGCATTTGTCAAGCTTTTAAATAAGAGCCTTTTTTTTTTTTTTTCTCCCTACCATTAGCATATAGATAAACTCCTATCATAAGCAGTTCTCAACATATGACTAAAGAAAGATGTGCATAAAACTTAAAACTTTGATAAAAAAAATGGTATGATTATTGAACAAAGATACGTGTAACAGTAAAAGGTACATAATCACACAACCTATAGAAAGATTTCTCTGTCTTCAAAGTCCCTTTAGCTTCCTTTTAACCAAAGATGCCACGAAAAAGCTTTAATGACACCCCTCAAAGGAAGCTTAGCTTTTCCTTCTAACCACCACTAGGAGGAGAGCACTTCATATAACCAATCTTCAATGTTCAAGGGGAGGCATAAGGAAACATTGAATATACTGAACAAATATGGCCAACCCTTCGTAGAAGTTGATGGATTTTTTCTTTTTATAAAATAATTATAGTTTTATTTGTCAATCATTCTCTTGGATTTAATTTCTTATTTTAATGTGTCTTTGTTCTGCATGTTTCCTGGATATCGCAGAGTCGATGTCGGCAATACTTGGCCTATATTCATTATTTGAGGATAAAAAAAGTTGCAATTACCGCACAATGTGCTATGAGAGGAAGAGTTGCACGCAAAGAACTTCATAAGCTTAAAATGGTACCTTCGATCTCTCTCTTTAAGCATTCTTTTTGTGAGGTTCGAATATTTATCTGTTTTTTTTAATTGAAAAACAAACCTCCTTTTAGCATATGAAAGGTACAAAGGGGATTGCCCCAAAATCAATGGAATAACAAAAAGATCCTTCCGTTAGGAACTATGTAGGCAAGAATAATTACAAAAAGTGTCTAGAAGCATGAGAGGAAACTACGAAGATTATAAAATTGCACGCCTCCGCCACATGTCTATCCCTATCTTGTACAGTTCTTCAGAAACTTTCCAAACTAAATATATATAGCATTGAGCCATAGAACGTACCTTTTTTAGTGAAGGAGAAATTGGATATCACTCAGACCAAAGAAGTTCCTCCAAAGAATTGATTCAAAAGCGCAGTCCAGAAACAGTGGTCAGCAATCAGCATCTTCAGGAGCTTCCTATTTGCTTGTAATGCACCAACTTGGAGAGACTCTATAAAATTGAAACCCAACCATTATAATACTGTTAATGATAGATTGCAAATTGTACAAACTACTCATAAATTTTAAGAACATATGCTATTAAACTTGGAACTATAGAATTATTACAATTTAACCCAGATTTTTTAATTCTATAAAATTTAAAAACTTTATAATTATTACAATTTAACCCAAATTTGTAAATTTTACGATCAAACCTCAAACTATAGAATTATGACCATTTAAGCCAATATTTTTTAAGGTCAATATTATAGTTTTCAAAATTTATAGAATAAAAAGTTTTGGGTTAAATTGTAATAATCGTATAGTTATATAGTTTGATTCTATTAATTCTTATAGTTTAGGGATAGTTTGTGGCTTTGTGCAATTTGCAATCATCACTAACGTTGTTATAATGGTTGGGCTTATTTGCAAAAATTTTGTAAGTTTATGAGGGATTGATCAAATTGAAAATTCATAGGTGTGATTAAAAACTCTTTGTTGAGGGGTTGTTTGTTCAATTTTCCCCTTAGATTATTACTCAACACTCATTCATTCAGACACTAAATTTACATTGATTAATGTGAAGAAACTAGCGTGCTTTTGAACTTGAGACATCGCAAATTTCAAACTTTTAAATTTTATAATTAAGTTACTGGAATCATGTGCAGGCTGCTAAGGAAACTGGTGCTCTCCAAGCTGCCAAAGATATGCTGGAGAAGCAAGTGGAAGAACTAACTTGGAGATTGCAGCAAGAGAAACAAATGAGGGTACACATCTTCTCCCATGTTATCTGTACTATGTATAGTGATATCCCAATAATGCCCCTATACTTTTACTTGGGATGCATATCCATATATGTGTCCCAAGTGAATACAAGCTTTTATATAATATGAGATAATGTTTCTATGAAAATTTCATATAGTTATTAAGAATGGTGGTAGTAAGCATTTTGCTAATGCAGGCTGACATGGAGGAAGCCAAAACTCAAGAAAACACAAAATTGGAGTCTGCTTTGCAAGAAATGGAAACTCAATTTCAGGAAACAAAATCACTGCTTAATAAGGAACGTGAAGCTGCAAAGGAATTAGCTGAGCAAGCCCCAGTCATACAGGAGGTTCCCGTTGTTGATCATGAACTGATCAATAAGCTAACTGCTGAAATTGAACAATTGAAGGTCTGGCTTTAAAATCTTACTTGAACGTGGAATTGGATGTTGAGTTATTGGAAAATATGATTATGTGAATTTCAGGAATCAAAAGCACTGCTTATTAAGGAATGTGAAGCTGCAAAGGGATTAGCTGAGCAAGTCCCAGTCCTACAGGAGGTTCCTGTCGTTGATCATGAACTGATCAATAAACTAACTGCTGAAATTGAACAACTGAAGGTCTGGTTTTCAAATCTTACTTTAATGTGGAATTGGATGTTGAGTTATTGGTAAATTTGATTCTGTCAATTTCAGGAAAGAAATGCACTGCTTAGTAAGGAACATGAAAGTGCAAAAAAATTAGTTGAGAAAGTCCCAGTCATACAGGAGGTTCCCATTGTTGACCATGAACTGATCAAAAAGCTAACTGCTGAAAATGAACAACTGAAGGTCTGGTTTTTAAATCTTTACTTTAATGTGGAATTAGATGTTGAGTTATTGGTAAACATTGGTAAATATGACTATGAATTTCAGGAAACAAAAGCACTGCTTAGTAAGGAACATGAAACTGCAACGAAATTGGTTGAGCAAGTTCCAGTCATACAGGAGGTTCCTGTTATTGATCATGAACTGATCAAAAAGCTAACTGCTGAAAATGAACAACTTAAGGTCTGGTTTTCAAATCTTACTTTAATGTGGAATTAGATGTTGGGTTATTGGTAAATATGATTCTATGAATTTCAGGAAACAAAAGCACTGCTTAGTGAGGAACATGAAACTGTAACGAAATTAGTTGAGCAAGTCCCATTCATACAGGAGGTTCCCATCGTTGATCAAGGATTGATCAATAAGCTAACTGCTGAAAATGAACAACTGAAGGTCTGGTTTTCAAATCTCACTTTAATGTTGAATTCGATGTTGGGACATTGGTAAATATAATTCTGTGAATTCGTTGGTTCTTACATTTGTGTGTAACTGTATTTTTTGGTAATGAGCAAATGCAGGCTCTTGTAACTTCCTTGGCAAATAAAATTGATGAAACAGAAAGGAAATTTGAGGAAAGTAACAGGCTTAGTGAAGAGCGGCTGAAGCAGGCTCTGGAGGCAGAATCAAAGATAATAGAATTAAAAACTACCATGCAAAGGTTTTTTCAGTTGTTTTGCTCTCTTAATTTGTATCAATATATGTCTTTAGTCTCTCTATCATGGATATTGATTCGATGTGATTTCTCTGACTAAAAGATTTTGGTTGAAGGGTATTTGAATTATTTTGTTTTTCTCAGGCTTGAGGAAAAATTATCTGACTTGGAAACTGAGGATAGAATTCTGAGGCAGCAAGCACTGCAGCAGCAAACACTGCAGCAACAAGCACTGCAAAAGCCTCCTTCAAGAAAAATGTCTGGACATATAGTAATGGCATCCAATCAGGTAGGCTTTCTGAAGAATTTTTCTATTATTAGTTCTCTTAGGTATCTATTGATCCTTTTGCTTTCATGTGTCTGCAGCCTTTGGAAAATGGCCACCATGTAAGTTTATGCAATGTTGCCTGACTAGTATGCATTTTTATGTTGGCATGGATGTACATTGTTGATAAGAGGCGAAGTACATTGTGCAGGAATTACTAAGCCATGCACCATCAAAAAAGTTTGGTACCGATGCTGATGCTAAATTGAGGAGATCCCAAATTGAAAGGCAGAATGTATGCATCCACGAGAGAGATGTTTTTTTCCCATTCATTTGCTGACATTTGGTTTCATCATATTTGATCATTTCATACTCTGTGCAGGAAAGTGTTGATGCTCTATTGAAATGCCTGACACAGGATCTTGGGTTCAGTGAGGGAAAACCTGTCGGTGCTTTTATAATTTATAAATCTCTCCTCCATTGGAAGTCATTTGAAGCAGAAAAAACAAGTGTATTTGATCGGCTTATTCAGTTGATTGGTTCTGCGATTGAGGTAACTTGGGCATCAAGTACATGTACCCCTCTCTCTTAGATTCTGTTAGTGGTAGAGACATTATCATGTCCGTCTGTTGGAAGAGGTGAACAAAATACTGAGCTTCAGTCGTTTGTATGAAACTCCAGAAATGCTATAGTTATTTTATATCTATCTTAGTATTTTATCATTTTCACTGAAGTTAATCTTATAAAATGTAGTTTTAACTGAAATTCCTGGAACAGAGTAAGGCAAAGCTGCCGACTGATTGAACATTACTTAGCAGTAAATTTTATAGAAATGGAGAGGCATTGATCAAATCATATTTATTTAGCTATAGTATTTGTATTTAAATATTGTATACTTCTTCACCTTTGCTTTTTCTCTTTCCCTTTCTCCTTTTTCTTCTATGTACTTAAATATGGTATTTGATTTATTTGCAGAATCAGGATGATAATGAACACATGGCTTATTGGTTGTCCAACACAACTACATTGTTGTTCCTTCTCCAAAAGAGTTTAAAAGCCACGCCACGGAAGCCTCCCACCCCAACATCATTATTTGAGCGGATGACCCAAGTAACAAATTTGCGCTTTTTCTTAAAAGAGAAATCATCTTATGTTTTCATTAGAAGAAAGATTTATGTTATTTTAAGTCAATAACCAAATAGATTGAAAGGTGACAAATTCTTGATTTTCTTAGGGATTTCGTTCATCTTCTGCCAACCTTCCAGTTGGCACCCTTGATGTGGTGCGGCAAGTTGAGGCCAAATATCCTGCTCTACTTTTCAAGCAGCAGCTTACAGCATATGTAGAAAAGATATATGGAATAGTTAGAGACAACCTAAAGAAGGAACTATCGCCATTGCTTTCAACTTGTATTCAGGTAAAGAACAACCTAAGTTTCCTACTGTCTAATTTATACATGGCCAAGACTTCCCTTTCTGTTCATTATTACTACTGTTGTAAATTAGAGGGATTGATGTTTTATTTTTACTAGGTTCAAGTGATTAGATATGTCCTTGGTTAGAAGTTTTCGTGAAATATGGCCTTATTTGGTTAGTTGTGTGACTTGGATCCAAGACTAGCAGCTCTAATACATGTTTCATGGCGTGTAGGCTCCCGGATCTCCGAAAGAAAATAGTTTAGAACCATCTGGCGAGGAAAGTAGTAGTAGCCCTCCCAATAATTCTTGGAGCAGCATCATCGACAACCTCAATGATCATCTGTGTAGATTGCAGAATAACTTTGTATGTGATAACTTCTGTTGGTATTCAAGTGAATAATATATCATTTCACTGTGAACTTATGCTAAGCATCTTACAGGTACCTGCCGTTTTGGTTCAGAGGATATTCTCTCAGGTCTTTTCATATATTAACGTACAGCTCTTCAATAGGTACATCTGCTTTATGTAAATTGGATCAATTTTAGAACCTTTTATCATGATTCTTGAAGATGAACTTGCATTGTTGCTTGTGCTGGCTCAGTCTTCTACTTCGTCAAGAGTGCTGCACGTTTAGCATTGGAGACCATGTGAAGTCAGGATTGGCTGAGTTAGAGCTTTGGTGTGGCCAAGCAAAAGAAGAGGTACAGTCTACACTGGTGCTCTGATATTTTATCTTCAATGACTCAATTGATATTTTATAATAAGAAAGAAACTTTGTAATTATTTATTGATTTCATTGCTTTRTTTAGTGGCGGATGCATGTTTGGCTCAGAGCTCAACCTTAGAAAATGTATATACTGTGTGCAAAGTGTAGTGTAATTGTTTAACGGCTCAGTGGTTATGAATGCTCAAGCCCCCTCTCACGGTTCTATGTTCAAGTCTTTTGTCCTCAAACTTTATAATAATTGTTTTTTCTTTAATTTTAATTTTTAATTTTCATAAACTAACTGTACTTTTTAATGATAATTGTTTTCTCTTTAATTTTTTATAAAATAACTGTACTTAATAATTATTGTTTTTTCTTTAATAATTGTTTTTTCAAACAACTGCAGTAATACAAAATATATGTTATAAACCTTTTAGTTTCTTTTTAAAATTTGATTTTTGTAAATTATTTTAAAAATAATTTATTGCATAAAAATTCTATAATTCTTATAAAATGAGAAAATTTGATTTATTATTTCAAGTTTAATTCTTTTTCTTCTATATTTATAGAGAAAATTTTGTTCTATGTCCTCTTAAACAAAATTAGATATATTATAAGTTTGGTTCATAAATATTTAGAACTGTGTTTAATAGGCTCTTAAACTTTAAAAAATATTCAATAGATCACCTAACTTTTAATTTTGCATCTAATAAGTCCTCAAACTTTGCATTTTATGTTTGATAGATCCTTAATCTATTAGACATTTTCCAAAGTTCATAAATTTATTGGTTCAAACAACCTTACTTCAAACTTAAACATAATATTAAAACTTGAAAAACTTATAACTTAACAAATTTAGTTTCAAAAGATATAGACTAAATACATATCAATGTGTTTGAATTATTTTTATACAACTCCCTAACATTCTAGAACCGAAACTAGCATCATTAGCTTATTGTGTTGGATACTGCTATTATATTCCAATACTTCCATAATGCTTAATTGTGTTTTTTATGAAATTTCAAATTCTAGTATGCTGGGTCATGTTGGGATGAGCTAAAACACGTGAGGCAAGCTGTTGGATTCTTGGTATGTTCCTTCACTCTATCAACTCTCTGTGCCACCATTCTAAATTTCTATCTGTGCCATATATACTGTGAATTCTGTGATATAGTTATAGTCTCCTGGTACTATTTTTGTTATTTATCTTTCCATATGTTAACTCTAATTTAATATTCCGTGTTGTTACAATTCATCTTTGATGTAAAATTGTTGAATAACAAGTTCAATGTAATGAGTTTAACATCAAAATTTTATATATTGAGCTACATTGACGAGTAATATAATTATTTATATAAGCAAAACGCTATCTAAATTATTGTTGTGCTAAGGTGATATATTTTATGGTCTGTTGATAACTTAATTTTAAAATTTCCGAATTCAGGTTATTCACCAGAAGTCTAGAATATCTTATGATGAAATTACAAATGACCTCTGTCCAGTAAGTTATTCTCTGATCGTGCATGTACCCTTCTCAGTGCTTATCTCTCACCTGTGCCTTCTTTATTCAGATATTGAGCGTTCATCAGCTTTATAGAATATGTAATCTTTATTCGGACGACAATTTCAATACTATGAGTGTTGCTCCAGATGTAAGTTCTAACAGGATTGGCTAATGCATCTGCTTGTTTTTCATTTGACAATTTTATATAGTTCTCCTTTCATTTTTATGTCTTAGGTTATTTCTAGCATGAAGGCTACAATGACCGAGGATTACAACGATGAGGACAGTAGTTCCTTTTTGTTGGATGACAATTCCAGGTATTTCTAATAAGAATACAAACAGGACATGTATTGAAAAGTTCTTCAACAGATTACTTCTTTTGAGGATCAAACTCTAATTAAGCTTTATGATTGCAGTATACCTTTCTCAGTTGATGACATATCCACTTCCCTGCAAGATAAGAATTTTCACGATATAAAGCCTCCTGCAGAACTACTTGAGAATCCCGCCTTCCAATTTTTACAGGATTAAGGCTATGGTTCTTATATTTATATATGATCCACGGTGCCTCATACCAGTCTTTGCCCTTTGTAAATCCACTTCATTTTTGTCCAGAAAAAGAAAAGGAAAAAAAAAATCATTTCACTACCATTGTAACATCCATTGTTCTGGATGTAAAGTTCTATGTTTAGAGTTGTACAATGTCGTTAGGCCGGTTTCTAATAGTTAAGAAGGGAAAGGGAATCAGAGATAGGTTTAAGGTTTTATTTTGTTATTCGTTTTATTCTTTTCAGTTCAAATTTTCTGTCTTATTATTAGTAGGATATTTAGGGTCACAGCATTGATTGTAGCGATGGGTAGGATGTCTGAGATTGATCCAATGTAGTGGGACAATGGCTTTTCTGCCTCCCCAATTTCATATTGTACAAAGTGACAGATTATCTCAAAGATATATTTAGTTGAATTCCATTTCTTTTCATGAACTCATTCAGCTGGTGTTCACCTCAAACTGGTCTTCTATTTGTGCGATTCTAGCCGTTTTTATCTGTTATCAATTTTAAATTAGTACTATTCATCCCTCTTTTTACTCTTCCTTTCTTTATCATGATCCTCTCCCGTCGAGTCGTGTTGGTTGCCTCTGGTGGACAGCCAACTGGGGACGATGTGCCAGTCCTTTGCCTCAGACTGACATTTGTACTTGACTCACTCTGCTCCAGAAAGTCAATCTCTACAATTCGGGTCGATATGTTGGGCCAGGCAAGCGAAACAGTTGATTAAACCTTTCAGACAGGCTCATTGTGAGAATTGGTTTCGTAAGTATGGCATGATTTTTCATTGCAAATGTACTCAAATCTTACAGATTCAGTATGGCATAGTTTCTCCCCACCCCTGCCCAGAAAACTGTCGATTACTAGGCTCTCAAGTTTATGAGGAGGTAGCATACAAGGCTTGTTGAAATGGTTAAAATTCATTGATGAAATTATATTTGATGTCTCTGTTATGATACTCTTCTGACAAGTCACTAAATTTCCCTGCAAGGTTCAAAGTTTGCAGCATCAATAACTTTCAGTTCTTGGTACTCCAGACACGGTACATCCTTCCCATACAGTTAATTTTTCTTAAGATTGGGAAGCTTTGAGATTTGGAATTCTGTCTTTCTAAGTGCATTGAATGAGCATTCTTACATGGTTTTTGAATATAAAAACACTAGCATGTGCATGCAATTTGTTCTATCAACAACATTTCTGATTAATTTCATTGCATCTTAGAATGCGCTTCAGCTCTGTGGTTGATGTCTGCCTGAGAGAATGCCAATGAACTTCTCCCCCCAAAAAAACTTGGTTCATTTTTACCAAAGTTTACAAGTTTCATGAACTGAAACAAAAGCAGCCTTTTAAATAAAAATAAATGCTTGAAGCACATGCAGACTTTGTTTTTGTAGCTTCAGAAATTTGGGATTGTTTTGTTGACTGCTTCTTGCTCACCACAAGCCTTAGCCAACTTTTGCTCCATTCTTCATGTGAGATCACATGCATTCCCATGTTTCATATCTGACTCTCTCTCTCTCTCTTGAAGGGAACAATTTGACTCTTAGTTTTATAATCACAAAACCATTTCAGTTATTACAGTTATGGAGGGAGGTAGTTGCATTTGTTTTTATTCATTCATTAATCAATATGTTATCTGATTTCATGGTGGGTGTGAGCCAATTGGATCTGATCCTCGAAGGAATCTCTATAAGGTCAAAGAAGAATTGAAAACCCACAGACCAACTCATTTTAGTTATTTTATTATTCATTAATGATTATCTACACACCATTCTTGGTGCTTTAGTGACACAATGTCTAGTTTTCTAAGATTTTGTTTTGGCTTATGCAATATTATTCTATACTTTTTTAACCATAGTGATATATATATATATATATATTTTGATCTTTTTAGGTTGATCGAATATGACTCAACACTCAGGTGCTGCCTTTCATAAGTTTGAATCTCTACCCCTCGTTTTTAGTGTATTAATTCAAAAAAATGACAATAAATCTTGACATACAAATCTAAAGGTGATAGAAACTTAAATTTGAGATTTTTATTATGTTGAAATATAATACATTTAGTGATACATAATTTATTTGAAAAAGAAACATAGAAGAGTAGTTATTGAAAAATTTAAAATAATTCATTTTATAATGAATAGACTTTGCTATTTGTGGTCAATATATCAAAGGGAATATCTCTGATATCAAGTGCTAAAACACCACTATTAATATATATATATTAAAAGAATTTCAAAATTATTGTCATATTTTCAATTTTCATTGACCTTCGTTATCTGCGTACAAGCACCAACAAGAATCTCCATCTTCTAAACATCAATCAAGAGTTATAATTGATCAATAAATGTGAATCACCCTACAAAATTTAAAAAAAAAAGTTTAATTTCTATCTTCCAAACATGGATCGACAAGAAAATACTTGAATTATAACGAATGATTTATAAATTTGCTTCTATCATAAAAGAGTATGACCTAATTGATCATTGAATCACTTTTGTGGGAGACGTAATAAACATTTTTTTTTAATTCTATAATAGTGGAAGTGAGAATCAAATAGTCAATCTTTTGGAGGATAATAGAAGCTGTATCTATGATTTGATGAGCTATGATCTGATGGACAAAAATGTAATAAATTAGTAAGTTAAAAAGAAGAAGACAACTCAAATAAAGAAACGAGTACAACGAAAAAGATTTTGGCATAATTTTACCATGGAGTATTTGTATTTGGATGGTTCATTGGAATCCATAGGCTTCATTCAATCAAACTTTCAGCCCTCATCAACCGAATCTAATCATCGAAATTTGCATATTTTTTTTTTCATTTTAATGCTTCAATGATAGGTTTTTAATAATAGTATATATTATATATCCAAACCCCAACAAATTAATCATTCCAAATTAGTCTCTAACTTTCCTTTGGCCTTATTCATATGTCTTCCCTCCTTTTTTTTTTTTTTGGAAACCCTTTTGAACATGAAGCTTATTAATTAATTAGTTAGAACCAATTAAACTCTTAATTGAACAAGAAATTAATAATTGGAAGATAAAAGAAAGGTACAAAAATTAGTGAATGTATATATGAATCAATCAATTTGAAAACTTTCTAGAGAATCAGTGTGATATATAATGATTGAGACCTCTTGTTTTGAATTTTTGTAAAAATTAAGAAATAAAAAGGCCAAATGATTGTCTGTTTGGGCACCCACCATATAAACAAACATGATGCCAATGATTACAAGTTTAATCAAATATCAGTTCACATGGAAAGGTCCTATGTGTCTATATATTGAGTTCTTTGACTCTTTAACATGAAAAAAAATATATATAAAAAGAGCATATTTATTGAAAGTTATGTAATCGATCAATCATCCGAGTTAGGAAAAATTTAATCTTTTATAGATAAATAATTAACACTTCACTCATGACTCATTTTTCGGACTTAACGGTCCCTAATAATTAATATTAAATATAGAAAAAATGACATTGACTCATTTTTCGGACTTAACGGTCCCTAATAATTAATATTAAATATAGAAAAAATGACATTGAAGTTCAAACAAATGACTACATGTTCCGGTAACATGTTAAGTCATCAATCAACCAAAAGAACTTAAGCGGATGGATTATGATAATTTCTTTTTTTATTGATACATTAACGTGTACTCAACCCTTTCTTTTGATCTTTAATTTTAAAAGTTTTGATTATTTGTTTGTTCATCTCGAAATCCGATATACTACTATTCATTGAATCCTCTCAACTTTTAAGACAAAAGAAAGAAATTATTTGTTCTAAAAACAAATATGTATTATTTGGGAATAGTACAATTAGTTGTTTAAAAATGGAATTAAAGAGGGATATTTATGAAGTCAAAGGGAAAATATTTTGATGCCTCTAATCCTAAATAATTAATTAATTATATGGTGAATTGAATAACATGATGATCTTAATTAGGCATGAATTAATTCCATTTTCAAAGTCTATTAGGGTGGTGGGATTGTTAACTTTTCCCAATGCATGTTTCCATGTGACCCATCATATGAACCCCAACAACAATAATCTTCTAATTAAGCTATATGAGTTAGAAGATTACACATCAAACATTCCTTAATTTTATCTCTAAACATAAAGATTAAATATTTAGAAGTGTTAATATATATGAAGAAGATTTCTCAAAGATTTTCATAGCTTTAAAGATCTTAAAGATTGATTATCTCTCCTATTATTTAACTAATAATTAACTTGGTTTACACATTCACTATACTAATTTATAGTTCAGAGTTTCCTTTGGAGTTTCGAGCTCACTTATCCAACTTAAAGTTGCGTCTTTGGAAAGAAAAAAACTCGACCCTTGAATACGACTTGATATAGATGTGCAAGGAAACATACTTTCTTTTGTTTTCCCTTTTCAGATAAATATATATGATTTCTAACTTTGATGTAATGATCGATTATCAGTTTTTAATTCGTTCTTCGAAAAAGAAATAATAATAATAATAATAATACTGGTTCTATGTCTTAAATATATATTTTTTCCTTTTCTGAAAACCAAACTTATTTGAGTTTTGATTCACATGAAACAATGTACCAATTAATGCATCAACATTGTTAGTCTTTTTCCTAAAGGCAATATATAATCTTTTAACTAATTTTAAAACATTTTAAAAGGGAAATTAGTGAGACTGAGAGGGTTGCACATGATGCTTTTTAAGTTTTGTGTTATACTAATTGCAATTTGGGAGATTCCATTAATACAAAAACAAAACTTTAAGCAAACGTTAACAAAATTATACCTTTTGTTTGGGAGTACCATTTATTTAAATCATTAAAAAATTGTATAAAAACTCTCTTTTTACATGCAATCATGCTACTCAAGTTTAAGTTCATATATTAATCACTTTCGACTAAGAAACAAATTTGATTAAAATTTTAAACCAGTGCAGGTAAAAGTGAGGTATAAACTTCAATTCAGTAAAGCCACCAATAATATCTTCTTAAAGATAACTTCAAATCCATACACTATCCCTTCTTTTTCTTTTATTATTATCTTTTTCTTTTTATATGACGCGTCTAACCTTTTGGTCTGGGCATAATATGTTATGTCTTAACCAGTTAAGCTATACYTATAGTGACATACAAAACTTATTTTCGAACCTACAATCTCTTGGTTGGAGAAATGTATGTCAATTACCGTTGAGCTATACTCGCTTTGGCAAAAACAACTTCTATGTCGTTATTCATTTCAATATATTTGTAATGCAACACACATATCATAATTCTACTTGAACTATTTCTTCTCCTCTCCACAATAGGTTGTGTATGAAATTTTTCATACTTTTTTTTTGAAGTACAATATGTGGGGTGGGAGATCGAACGACTCACAATCTCTTAATTGTAGATATATCTCTCAATTATCGCTCAACTTTGACAAAAATTTTCATACTTAATGCACAAAGAAGAAAGAGAAGAAAGAGAGAGAGAGAGAGGAATGTAATTTCTTGGAGAAGAAATACAATTTGAGATCTATCTTGTTTGGCACACCCCTCTTTCTGTAAATATATATTATAGATTATGATTCCAATAAAAACCAGTTTTTATATACAATACAACAAACGAGAAGAAGGTAAGGATGATACGTGTTAATTTTCATATCTCTATAATAGAAATATTTATGGGCAAAGGAATAATGGTTTTTATGTTCTCAAATCTCAAGAAGAAAGGCCAAAGGGAGAATAATAATGGTGTGTTCATATTTTTCCAAATCTCAAGAAAAGTCCAACCTACCCTTAAACCTTACATTATATTTCAATCTTGATATCAAAAACATGACCCATACTTGATTCACTAGTACTCTATTTTTTATTGGATCGAAGTTTTGAACGAAACTGATTCAAGAGCTTTCAAATCGTCTAATATACAAGTCTTTTCTAAGTAAATCGTCATTTTCATAGTATTGCAAAAAAATCAACAAACTATTATTAGCAGAGACATAATATTAATATTAATCATTTTAAACTTATCTAAAAATGGTGAAACTACTACGAATTTTTTATTTTTGTAACATTTCTAAAAATATTCAACAATATTTACATCAACCTCGACATTTAAAATCTTATTATTCCATACCCAATATCCAACTACAATCAAATGATCAACAAAAATTTTGGGATGATGCTTTATTTGCCATCCCCTAAAGCAAGCGAAAGCCTATGAGAAATAAAGAATTTGAGAGGTAGAGGAGGAGGTGGAGCCAAACATGTAGTAAAATATATTTTTGCATGGAAAAGATACAATTTAATTTCCAATAATAATATTATGCACGTGCATGGCCATCACCTTTTTTCTTTCTTCTAATTCTTCAATTTCTTCAACTTTTCAAGGTGGGATAGTGGTTGTCCACCCATCTCTCTCTTTTCTTTTTCCTTAATTATTAACTTCAACTTCAAATTTCTCCACCTTATTTAATCCTCCAAGAAGAGGGTAAAATACAATTTTGACCCAACATTGTAACGATATTTTAGTGAATATCAAAACTCAAGTAATTCCAATATATAAAAGAAGAAAATTTTTGTATATATATGGTGGCTTCAAATTCCAATAGAGTTTTTGATGAGTAACCCAAGGCCATTTAATTACAAAAAATTAGCAATATTGCCTCGATTTTGAGTAATCTTAAAAAATTATGACTTTACACATAATTAAATTTTCAATCTCCAAGTTGCCTCCTTTCTTGAGACTTAACCCACTATTCCAAACACACACTCTTCATTCTTATCCCTTTTTCTCTATCTAATCTGTCTTCCACAACTCCACAATATAATCTTCTTCAACACATTTTTTTTTTTATCTGTTTTTTTGGAAAAAGGAGTTCAATTTAAAATAGGGCAAAGAATTTGAAACCCAAATCAGAGCTATGTATAGACAATAACTTTTTTTTTTTTGTTTTAGTTTTCAAAATTTAACTTAATTTTGAAAACAATTTAAGAAGCAGATGCAAGCAAATGAAATATATACATGAGTGTGAAAGCCGTGTTTACTGGCTTAATTTTCAAAAACAGAAACCCAAAAACAAAATAATTATCTTATGACTCGTTTGGTAACATTCTATGTTTCTTGTTTCTCGTTTCCAATTTTCTTAAGGAATCTAAGTATTTTTCAACTAACTTTATTTCTTGTTTCTCCTTTTTGTGAACATTCTCTCAATTGTATAGAAATTTTAGAAACAACCAAAACTAGTTTCTCGTTTCTCATTCCCATTTCCAATTTGTTGAAACAAAAACAAGAAACAGGAATGTTACCAAAGGGTTCGCTGAATTAAGCCATGATTATTAGTATACTTTATGTGTGAAACTAGACCAAGAATAATACTACTTTTCATCTTTGCTCATATTTATGAAGCTATTTGGCTTAATTAGGGGTTTTGGAAGCTGATGGTTGTCTAGGGCATTAGTGAATCTTCATGAACTTTGTTTTATGGACCATTTGGACTTAAGCTATGGAGACCACTCCTCCATACATATCTCCATCAACAAGAAACTTTTAGAACAAATAGAATGTAATAGGCCAATTCAATTATATTCATCACCCAATTAACAATAACCCTTCTTTAAAACATTAAAACCAACAAAATTCATTAGTGTAATAAGGGGATTTGAGTCATTATTTGAAGTCATATGGTCAACTTTTCTAGTTGAGAATTGAGATCACAGAATAAATTCTCTAAAGAATCACAAAAAATAGAACAAGGCTTTGAGAGAAATCTTTGGCAAGATACAGAGAGCCCCTAGTTTACACAACTTCCACTCATTAACTATATAAAATTCTCTCTCTCTCTCTCTCTTCAATGGCTTTGTTTTAAACATAAAATATGGGTTTTAAATCAGACAAAATAAATGCCTTAGACCTCAGAAGAAAGAAGCCACAAAGTTTATAATTTTTCCAAGTTTCACATCACATGCTTTTCTCTCTCATTTTGCTCTATTTAAAGCCCTCCCAACACCTTCTTCCCCTTCCATACCATTTTACAACTCTCCATCTCAAAAAAGTACATTACATTACATTCTATTCTCTCTCACTCCTCTTTAAATTTGTCCCTCTCTCTCTCTTAACTATAGAGACCAACAATATTATGATGCATAATACTTGTATCAGCATCCCTCCATTGGCACAGACCATTGATGGGGATGGCTTATTTGATCACCGTTGCATATGGGTCAACGGCCCTGTGATCGTCGGAGCCGGGCCCTCCGGGTTGTCGGTTGCGGCTGCTCTCAAACAACAAGGCGTCCCGTTCGTCGTCGTTGATCGAGCCGACTGCATTGCCTCTCTTTGGCAACACCGTACTTATGATCGTCTCAAACTTCACCTCCCTAAACAGTTCTGTCAACTTCCAAACTTCCCTTTCCCGGAGGAGTTTCCCTCTTACCCCTCCAAGTTTCAATTCATTTCTTACTTGGAATCCTATGCCAAGCATTTTGATATCGCCCCACGCTTCAATGAGACCGTGCAGTCCGCCAAGTATGACCAAACCTTCGGCTTGTGGCGAGTCAGAACCGTTTCGATGACTCCGAAGCCGATCGAAGTCGAGTACATTTGCCGGTGGCTGGTGGTTGCCACTGGCGAGAATGCTGAGAAGGTGGTGCCGGAGTTCCAGGGGATGGAGGAGTTTGGTGGCCATGTTATGCATGCTTGTGAGTACAAATCCGGGGAGAGTTACCGTGGGAAGCGGGTGCTCGTCGTCGGGTGTGGGAACTCCGGCATGGAAATCTCGCTTGATCTTTGTAACCACAACGCCAAACCATCAATGGTGGTCCGGAGCTCGGTGAGTATAGAGTCAAATTTATTGAATTTAATTCATAAAGTCAACGTGAATATAGCTCAACTAATTTGAACCGGTGAATATTTTGATCTACAGGTTCATGTATTGCCAAGAGAAATACTTGGAAAATCGACTTTTGAAGTAGCCATTTCACTGATGAAATGGCTGCCACTTCGTATGGTGGACAAGATGCTGCTGATCTTTTCCAGAATTGTTCTTGGGAACATTGAGAAGTATGGACTTAAAAGGCCCTCGATGGGGCCTTTACAGCTGAAGAACGCCGCCGGGAAGACGCCGGTGTTAGATATCGGAGCATTGCAGAAGATTAGGGCCGGTGAGATCAAGGTGGTGGCCGGAATCAAGAGATTCCGGCAAGGTGCGGTGGAGCTAGTCAATGGAGAAGTTGTAGAGATAGATTCTGTAATTCTAGCTACTGGGTATCGCAGCAATGTTCCTTCTTGGCTCAAGGTCAGCAAATTTTTTTCAATTTTTAAAAAATTTTAAAATTTGGAATTTTTAGTCCATGTGACAGTTATGGAAGTTGGGTTCGGTTTTTAAAGTCTCTTTATTGACCATTACCCTCCAGTTTCAGTTCTTCAAATTTCTGAAAGCTTTTTTTAAGGAAAGAATTTGTGTCCATCTAGGGAGTTCCTCTGTCCGAAATGCTTTTTACTGCTGTTTATAGAAACAGCTGATTTTCTCTCTCTACCAGTCTCTCTCTCTAATCTCTAAACTTATTAACAGTATTTAATTTGAACAGGAAAATGAGTTCTTTACCAGTGATGGGATTCCAAAGAGTCCATTCCCAAATGGTTGGAAAGGCAAAGCTGGACTTTATGCTGTTGGGTTCACAAGAAGAGGCCTCTCTGGAGCTTCATTGGACGCCATTAATGTAGCTCAGGACATTGCCAGGAGCTGGAAAGAAGAAACAAAACAGAAGAGAAAATCAGTTGCAGCTCGCCATAGAAGATGCATTTCACATTTCTAATACAAAGGCCTATCTTCATCTTGTGAAGAAAAGTAACCAAAACAAAAGAAACAAAAAAGAATGCAAAAGAAACACATTAGTAGAGCCCTCTCCCCTAAAAAAATGGAAAAGTCTAATTCCCAACACAGCAAAATAGTTATATGCATTTCTTTCTGTATAAAGGATGATGAGGCTTATTGTTTTTTCTCTCTCCTATTGACTTTCTCTTTCCCATCTACCTCGTTTGTAGTCTTCTTCCTCTCGAAAAATATTTAGGTGCTGATTGGTTAGCACCCATAAAATTGTTGACGAATACAGAAAGTGTTGTACAAGATAATGAACGTTAATTTGCTTAACAATGGTCATAGGTACTCACCAATCAGTACTTAAATATTGTTCCTTTCTTGAAGCTGGCCGGCCTAGGAAATGGTAATAAATTTTGAAATGAATGGGCTGCACAACAGTGGATCCACTATAGGCCCAGTAACAAAATGTGGCCCCCAGGTCCATGATTCCCCCCAACATAACAAATCTTCACAAGGGGATCTCAGTCTTTGGTCTCACAATGGAAAAAGGAAAAAATATGGATTTGAGGTCTTCTGTCTCCATGTTGCTTTGCACATGGTCTTAGCAGAGAAGTGTAAACCTTATCCTTGGTCTATACATGTGAAGAAATCTCTCTTACCACCACAACTTTTCAACTGTAATAAAAGGTCTCTCAGCCTTCGGACCAATCAGTGGCTGCTCATTGCTCTGCTCTCTCTTCTTTACTCTGCCTGAAAACCAGAATCCATATGCATCTTTTTTCATCGCACCTAACTGACACATGTAAACAAGCCACACATCAGAATTCACAGCCATAAATCTGCAATAATCTTGTAAAACAACAGCATAGTAAAATGAGCTATAGCAAAACAAACTCCTAGAAGAGCCTTAATTAGTAAGAGCTGTTTGAAGACTTTAAGTAGAAGGAGTAAGGACAAGACAATTCTCCTGTGGGGAGAGGAAAAGGAGAAGACAACCCATATGACTTCCCATGCTGTCGATTCAACAAAACATAGTGCTATAACTCCATGGCCCATTTTAAATGTTCTTCATCACCACAAACTCACAGCTTAGCAGAAAGAATTTGTAATTCGACCTGATCGCGATCCTACATGAGCAGGTTATCTGCATCACTTTGGTATATATATTACAGTCAAGTAGACATTAATGTTCTAGTTTTTATTGCACTACATAAAGCCTACAGCATGAACTCCAAACCTCCAGTCATTGTCAAAATCCCACTAGAGTTTCCAATGGTCTCATAAAACCATGCAACCTCTTACAGAGACATCAAGCTAACCAAGGGAAGAAAACACATGGGGTAGTAAATACCCATACCATTTTCCTAGTTCTTCATCAAATGCCCATCCCTTCATGTTATACAAGATAATAACTCTCAGATATTGATGGTAAGTGACATACTGACCTTTACCCAGCACAAAATTCAGGAGTCTCAGAAACCTTGGTATATCCTTCATATACCTTAAGGTTTCATTCATTTTATTAAGCTTAATATATTTTGATTAGAAAATTATGAGCAGTGTTTTATTGCCATAAATTAGATAGATGATGTGCCAAATGTTGAACTATGGAGATTCTTTCCCTTGAAATCTTCCTCTATTTCCTTACTCCCCATTGTCTAACTTGAGTGAACCTTGTTTAGTATGACCATCATTTGAACTTGTCCAGCCTTTCAAAATGATGTATTTGTTGAAGCTGAATCAGGAAGAAGGGCATGATCTTCTTCCAAAACAATACATTATGTGGTCAGAATGAAATTCTTTGAAAATAAATAAATTTACGCTCTTTCAAAATTCTGTCTTCAAATTGAGCAAATATGGTACTACAATTTGTCGCCTAATCCTGAAAAAACTACTTGTGACGAAAAATAAGTTGAGACAAACTTTTAGTCTCTTAAAGTTGAAGGGATTCAATAAACAGCCCATAGAAAGAGGTTGCTAATTCAGGGAATGACACAGGACAAAGCAGTGGAACAAAGAGCTCAGAGCAAGAAGTGCAGATGCCATCTGGGCCTGAAAAGTATGATTACTTTTAGTTGAGCATACGATCAATTTCACCCTTCTGGTTGTACAAGTCCAGAATCTTTTTAGCATATGTAGGTTCATGCTTATCAGCTCTGCAGTTCATTATAAATCATCATCAGAAGAGAAAAAGGAAACAGAATTATACACAGCTTAATTCAGTTTACCTTTGTTTTCCCCATGATCGGGAGACGTATAAATGGTTCCGGATGGTATGGTAATCCAGTGAATAACGAGCAAACTCCAGACCTTTCGGGCCAATCTAAAAAATTAAAAAAGAAAACAAGATATAGGCGTTTATGCAGGTATTTTATTATAAGTGCATCAAAGATCGATGAAAGGGTGAAATGAAAATCTCTCTTTCATTTCTGAAAGTTGGTTTTTAATCCAAAAGAATTATATTTATGCAGGATAAATTTTACCAAGTTCAGAAAAAATGCTATAATATTCCCAATAAACTTTGGTGCAGGCTGTGAAGGACCTTTCCCTGAGAATGAGAACAACACAAGTACAAAAATCAAAGGGTTACCATAGAAGCCTACCATGGATTCACATTTATATAATAAATTCTAACCAGCTCACTAACAATTACAGAGAAAGACAGGTACTATATAGAGCGTTTACAAGCTTTGAGATTCTGCTCTCCATGATTTAAAAATGTGACACGGGACATAATCTGACTTAGAAACGAAAAATAATTCAGGATTAGGAAGAATTATTCAACCTGTTACTCAAGATAATTGCAAAATGAATTGCTTCCAATAGATGATACGAAAAATAATTCAGGATTAGCACAATAACATTTAATTTAAAAAGGCCTGATTTTTGTTTTTTAGAAAAAGTTTAAATAAAAAAACAGAGTAAGAAATTATAACTGAAGTATGGACGCTGTAAAGATGTAACCAGACATACCAAGCTTAGCAGCGTCATCTGCCTTGACAGTCTCCATAACGAAAGGTCTTCGATTACCCTGAGGCCAAAATATATTTGTAAGTAAAATATGCTACACTTCATATTAGAGAAGATATGGGAAGGCAAGAAGCTTACATCGCTAGTTGTTGGAGTAATTTCCAAGTACTGTTCTACTAAACCCAGCATCTCTCTACCACGCTCATTTCTACAATTTTAAGGATATGAGAATAATGGAATGTTGGAGTTTCTACAGAATATTAACACAAAATAGACTCTCATAACATGGCCAGGCATGAAAGGTACAGAAAGAACCTAATGAATAATGTTACCTAACAGTAACATACTGTGGATGTTGGGTCATGCTGATTCCAGAATATTTGGGCACACCCATATATCCAACTACCAGATCCTGAAAATTTTACATATTACTCAAAGTTAAATCAAACAGTATTTTGTTTGTGCCTGAACAGCTTTATAGCAACATGTGTAACGAACTAAATCATTAATAATAGTCTAAGAGCAAGTTCTCTTAGGAAAGGCTAGCCTGCAATTATTTTGAAAACATTAAATTCTTTAACATTTCAACCTTAATATAATCATAAGAAATCAATTTTAGGTATAAACAGAAAACTATAGTAAAATTTATAACTTTCAAGTCAGATAATTTATGCATGGTGATCTGAGGGAGTAAGGTGGATATAGCAAATCGCAAAGAATGATTTAATAACTATTTCTTGGCCTTGTAGGATACAGTGGAGCCATACAGTAATGATTTTGATTAACCAAAGAACACGTGCACATAAAATTGTGTAAGCAAGAGACCATATCCAGGGTTTGCCTTAGGTGACCGATTAAGTCTTGAATCTCAGTTTGTTTGGCATACATTCTTGGTTGCCCAAGTTTACTGCTTCCAATAATTTTGGAAGATTGACTTTAATGTTGTTTATACTTGATTTTTTTGAAGAAAAGAATAGTATATTCTTCTGTATATATGAATCAAATACAAGGTCTTATATAGGAAAAATATCATCCACTAATTAGAAAAACTATGGGGAACATGATCAAGTCCAATAAAAGGGTAACGAAACAAAAACAAACAAATGACTGTTTTATAGACATATAGTTCACCTCCATCAACAAAAGGGTGAAGTAAACAGTTAGATACAAAAATGTTGTATCACGTTCAAATTAAGTTTGTGAAGAAGTAACAATCAATAATATATTGCAACCGCAGGTAAAAAGACATTTCACCCCGTTACAAAAATGAGAAGAAATAATATGATACAAGTAAAAGATTACATGGTATTAATGATTCATATTAAGTTAGATGAGGAGAAATACTGACCGCTAAAGCATTTGTGTAATCAAAGCAGCTGCAATGCAAACAAAAACTCAATTAAAGAATAACTTGGAAAGAGCGAGGAGAGTACATTCTAAGAGAAGTAACTACTCATACGTGGAAGGGTTTCTTCATAACTTCCTCACTTGGGTTGAGGCTTCCCCCTCCCCTTTTTTACGTTTCATTATTTTAATGAAGTGTATTCTCACTTTTAATCCCAAATAAGAAATTAAAAGTAAATTGAAATTAACTTAAGCTAAAGCTAAAGCCATTATTTAATCTCCAAACATTTGTGAATAGAATAATATATAGATTTGAAACTCTCAATTTCAACAAATAACCTTCACAATTTCCAATCAACCACATTTCAGATTTTAAAAAGGTTCTTCATACAAAATCCGATTTTCCCTTGTTTCAACATCTTCAATTCATTTTTTATGTTTTACTAGCGCGTGTGGACCTTGGTTTAAGTGTTTAGGGATGCGGATGGCTTTGTTATGGCTTTATTCAATTTAAAGCACAGGTAGGCATTCATTCGCAATCCTTTTCACCCCTACATTAGACCAAACTTTAAAAATAAAAAAATTAATGTTCGACCCAGCATCTGCATATATGTGGCTCTTCCTCGACAAGAGATCGAATATGCAAAATTCACACCACTAGAAATAGGAAACGACGAAACATACCTGTAGCAAGATGGTGCAATAACATCAACCAAGTCATTTGCGGGTAGACAGAAATAAGGAACCTGTTTCAGTATAGCTAACTTGATGAGGCACCACAAGAAAGATGTTCATGAACAAAGATGCTGCGGAGACTAAATTACCTCTTCAATATGACCATCCAAATGCTTTAGATGAACCTATAAGAGAGATAAGAACTTGACTGAGAAGCAATGGAGTGAACAAAGGCTGAAAACTGGAATTCATAGCATAGTTGCATGAAAGAGACAATATTTCCCTACTGAGCCAGTACATGAATTGATTTCTAGATGAACACATGAATCACAAGGCACTAATTGCAGGCTGCATTTTATAATCTAATATTTAACCTGTTTTTTTTTCTCGTGTCTGAAAGGGCAGAGGTGAGGTTATTTTGTTATTTTCTAATTATTCTTTTTATTTGTGTGTGCACGCACAGATCATATCATTAACCAAAAATAAATAATGCTGAGAATCATGTCTCTTTGCATAAGAAACAGAGGATAGTTTCTGTATCAGCAACTACAAAGAGTTGGCACCTTCTATCTCATTCATAGCAAATAAAATCACCCTCTCTAGTTACAGATTCAGGTACTAATCATAGAGAGTTTTTTTTTCTTTCTCTAATGGGAAACAGAACAATCATAGAAGATAGTTAAAATGTGGAATATCATAATTCTCAACAATTACAACTTCAGGTCTCGACATGAAGCCTAAAAAGATCTAGGCCACTAGGACAATATCTTGAGACCTTGAGAGATGCACGTTAGATGAATTATATTTCTCAAGGAGTTATATATGTCAAGGACTAGAGAGAGGATCCAAAAACAGACCTTGTAATCTTGCATGAACTCGTAATGAAGAACTGTCTCTGGTTCTTTACTTGCAGCCTTTAGAAATTTATCTAGTCCTTCTCGAGTTCCATTATCCACTGTTCAAATAACAAAACATAATTGCACTATGTTATCTTGTAGACTGTAGAGAATTTGACATTCCTTCCGGGAACATCAATTTTAAATACAGACATCTAAAACTAGTAATGGTAAGATACCATAAACTGACAAATTATTATATAGAAGATAATAATTGCAAAGAGTTACCACAATTAGTGCCCAGTACATAAAGCTTCTCCAGATTTAAATGCTGCTCCACAGATCTTAATGCTGCAGTTTAAGATATCATTCTGCATTACAGTTGTAGAAGTCACAATAGCGAAACGAACTAAGGATCTTTATGCACTCCAGAAACACGTTGAACAGAAAACTGGCTTGATTCTCAAAATATATGCAGTTTGGAGTACCATAACACACCCTCAAGGCTCAAACAGGTACTGGTAATAAATCGACCAAGAAAAACATAAACATTACCCTGCACTTGACAGCCCACACCACAGAAAAGAAGACGTTTGACACCTGCAGCCTGTTTCAAAAACGTATCAATATGTCTCATTAAATACACTTCGGTCACAACTGTCTTCTAGGTCAATTAAATGTCCTAATGCAAGTACCCCACGTTTTCCTGTGACCTCTAACAAGTTAATATAGACCCCTCTGGAAATTTAAGCATTTTGTTCAATATATTTGGTAGATTTACCCGCTTGGAATTTAATATCAATTTAGTCTAACACAAACTGATGCAAACTCCCCAAAGAGAAAGTTGCCTATGAAAAAGAAAAGCATAAACGGGGTTTCTCTCCCTCTTAATAATGGGGAAAAAAGCACCTCCACTAAAGCAAGGGTATTTAAGTTGGGAGACAACGTTGGCTTTACGCCTCTGGCTGCTAGGACTTCATCTGGTGTCCTATTAAGAGGGCAAGAATAATTATAGTAGCAAATCAGTAAAAATTAACAGAAAGAGAGGCTATTTGTCAATACAGATTCCAGAGTACTGGCAAAACTACGCAGTAAATAAACTAAATAAACCTTGCTAAAATAGGCCTTGGATTCAGTCTGTCCTCTGGATCACTGCAATATAACAGAATAACAAAAACTTCACCACGTAATTGTCAATAGAAAACAAATTAAATGAAGGCCTGAAAAACGATTTCATAGCTTTATCAGGAAAAAGAAATAAAGTAGAGTTACCTCTGTACACAAATCACAGCCTCAACCATGCCTGATTTAAGCATTTCAATTGCTATAGTTGTTACTATCCCCGTCCATTGAGCTCCTACAAGTATGCAGAAATTTGGTCCTCATATTTTAGATAGATAAACGAAGCAACTGGAATCTTCTAGAGAAATTGAATTATCGTGTAGTTAGAAAACAAGGATAGAAGAAACTATTCACAGGGGTTGCAAAGCAGTCTGATCCAACACCAAAACTACCAAAAAGAGACAATGCAATGCATTTCAAAACAAGCTGTTGAAGTGTCACAAAAACCAAAAAGGAAACATCTAAGATTATCTTTTTTGTTACAAACAATTACCTTCCACTGGCTTAATCTTACGAGCATATAGTAGCTTCTCATGAACTCCAAAATATGTCTCATCCAGCGTATCTGTCTTCCTCCCTCTACCATGAACTACAGGCTCCAATTCCTGAGGGAATATAAGTGAAAGTGTGAAATCACACATATGAAACTGATAAACAAACTAATTAATCGTTTAAGATGTCAAGCCTTTTGCTCTCATTTGATGGGTATGAGTAAATACGTCGTTAGAAAAGCAAATTGACTTTGAGAACATCAATAATATATTATTTGAGGAACAGCAGGATCAATAGTCAATACACTCGAGAGATCTGGTTCCATCCCCACTGGTCAAAATGTATGGGTGAGGTTTACAATCACAGAATTAGCTACACAATACATATCCTTTCTGGTATTAGACAAAGCATTTTTATATTGACAACCTCTAGGCATTTTTTCAACTTCTATATTATAGGGAATTCAACATACAAACTCCACTAACGAACATTATGCAAACTAATATCAGAAAAATTGGGGTAAAGAAAGACAAGAAACACGTACAAATAGAAAGAATGGGGACTTACTTCAATTCTAGACATTCCATCGCCCAAGAAAGCACACGCATTCTTGACATGGGCAATGTAATAAGTATCACACAGGCCGCATCGACTGCAAGGGAAGAATCCAAAAATGAAGGACAAAAATGAAGAGAACAGAAAGCCCTCAATTAAAGAACCAGCTCTTCCCGCCAAAACAGTGAAGCTTAGATTGAACCTGCAATGATCTTTGGCAGGGTAGGTGCCTCCAGGAGGAATTGGTCTAGAGCGTTCCCTCCAGTCGTCCCTGAGCTTTACTTGCTTGGGCTCCGATTTTCCATCTGTTCCATAACAAACGAGCGAACTCTTACTCTGAAACACAATCATATGCGCCGGAATCTCAAAACACAACGGAGAAGCAGAGAGAGGTGTGAACTCACTTGGATTAGAAGACGAGGATGAAGAAACAATGGAAAGTGAGAGAGGAACGGAGCGGAGGTTGGCGATGGAGTGCATAACAGCAGAGTAGCAATGAACAGAACGAGCTCGTCAAGCTCCAGAGAGAGAGCGAGAGCGGGAGAGAAATTGAGAGAGATTTCTTGTTATCCACATATATTAATTCAGCTGGATAAACCACGCTCCATTGGTCAGATTTTCTTATTTTTCAATTTGTTAAAATACTAAATTGCAATTTTTAGTCCACGTATTTCTAATTTTAGTTTCACTTTGGTGTCTGGTGTATATTTTTCTCTTCCTTTATCTGTAATTAAATTTTAATGCGACAGAATATTCCCACTTAAAAAATAATAATTAGCAGAAAGTGATATCTTAAAGTTGGGTTCAAATCCTCCTTAACATGTTGTACTAAAAATAATAATAATAATTAGTATCTTATACGTCAAACTATATTCGTATTGACAAGTTATTATTTCTATTGATTCCAATAATTTTGGCTTGGTAAATAATAATAAATTTTTTACACAATAAGTGATTTTTAATTTTACAAGAAAACAAGTAAAAATTTGCAAGTGACACTATGTTTGTAATCCAAATTGTGTGTGTTATTTCCCTATGATATAATTCGTTGCGTTCCAAATTATCAAGGCAAAATGTCAATATGAACACTAGAGCTCACTATTTTTATTTTAATTATATCACAAAATACGAATGGGAGATTGGAACTTGTAACTTATTCAAAATTGTGAGGGTAGAAAATTGAAAAAAAAAATTGATATTTATTTGAAGTAACACAACAAATATTAAATTATATTTCACTTAAAATAAAATATCAAATAACTTTTAAAATTTGTGTGAACAGCATAAATTATATTTCACTCGAACTAAAATCAAATAAGTTTTAAAATTTGTGTGGAAAGCCTAGGTTGCTGTGATGAAGCTCGTAGATGCATGTTAAGGATCTACCTTAAAAAATTGAGATAGAATTCATTTTATTTGAGATGGACGTGAGTTGGAATTCCAAACCCTCGTATTTTCTTATCATAAAAAGGTTTGTGATTAATTGGAATAGCTCACTAATTACATTAGTTGAAATGCAGATTGGAGCAATTCCTGTCGCCGGCGGCTGAAATGCAGCACCATTTGATCATGATCGGGAATATGATCTCTGATCACGGCGGCTCCCCTGAAGTTCTCGGCCCAAGCTTGAAGGCGAGGGAATCCATGGCCTTCCAACAGTTTCATATCCACCACTTCTTCCAACACCTTCATCCACACTGCGATCCATCCGAACGCCAAATCCACCATATTAATCTCCTCTCCTCCGAAGAATTTCCCGCCGCCGCCGAGGCCCCGCTCCTCTATCGTCCGCAGCACCTCCAAGCTCTCTCTCCTCGCCTTCTCTCTCTCGCCTCCTCTCGCCAGAAAAATCTTCCGAATCGTCGCGTCCTGGTGCAAATTCGTTTCAATTACCGAGTTCGAGACACGAAAATCGGATTTGTGAAACTTACCTTATCCTGTATGAATTTGATCCAGAACCGGGCGGTTGCTCTGTGGAGAGGATCGGCAGGGAGCAGAGGTTTCTGCGGCCAGGTCTCGTCGATGTACTCGAGGATGATCGTGGACTCGCAGATCGGTTTTCCGCCATGGACGAGGACTGGAATCATCTTGTGGACGGGATTGAATCGCAGAAGCGAAGGGCTTTTGTTGGCGAGATCTTCTTCTACGTACTCGTAGGGTATGCCTTTGAGCTCCAGAGCCCAAATGACTCTGTAACTGAAAGGACTTGGCCAAGCTCCATGGAGCTTCACTTGTGCCATCTTCGATCGAAGAAAATTCAGCTTCTGCTATAATATCAACAAAAACCCTAATCGGTGCACATTTAAATAATATAAACATGGTTGAAATTCAAATTTTGCTCCTCTGATTTCAATCCTGGCGACTGTTTTTTAAGTCTAACAGTGGAGGTGGAATCCAAGATAAGTGGGTACGATTTCAAGTTCTCTTCTTATTTATTTACAGTCTTTTGTTTTTTTGTTTTTATTATTTGTAAGTGTTCGTTTTCGTTGTTTGAAAATTTTGACAAATTCTTTTAAAAAACTATATCTCTACATGCCCAAGAACAACATATTCTATTTGAAAAGATATAAAAGAAGAAAAAACCATTACAAACGAAATTTTGTATTATATCTCCAACAAAGAGATCGGAGTTACAAAACAAGGACGAACATGCTCAAAGAACCAAAAATCCAAATGCACATAATAAAGTATGCGCTCTCTGATTGATCTCATCTCTCCCGGTTACTCCGATGATGTCGGTTTCATAAGCAGCTCCCTCAGAGCCTTGAACGCCACCACCATCCGCTCCCGATCGGGACGATTGTCTCTGATGACGGGAGCTTCCATGAAAGCTCTGGTCCAAGCATGTAGTCGAGGAAATGAATGGGGTTCCATCAATTTGTGGCCCATCACTTGTTCCATCACTTCCAACCATTCTCCAAACACTCCATACACCAAATCCAGCATCCCAATCTTGTCTCCGCCAAGGCCCAACAAATTCTCTTCACCAATGCACCGCTCTTCCACGTTCCGCAGCATCTCCAAACTCTCGTTCTTTGCCTTCTCATGTTCTTCCCCACCCGAACAAAACATTCTCCACACCACAGGCCCCTGAATACAAAACTTTCAGTAAAGCGGAAATCATAATAAATGGGGGAGGAAACGACAACAACGCAGCGGTTCGAACACAGGACCTCCTACTCTAATGCTATCAATGATGAATAAACCACACTGGTGTGATAAATTTTCTTTTTCTTTTTCTTTTTATAGTGAAATAGGATATAAAAGATCGATGACAAATTTTTTGGATAAAACTTAGTACTTACATATAAGCAGGATTTTTTTTTCTTGTTAGTTGGATAAATAGGATCTACTATTAAGAAATTGTCACATTTTTATTAGAAAAATAATTAGCTTCTTACTAGTAAAAAGTAACCACCATTAAATATTCGACAACTTGAGAGAAAATGTAAAAATATAAAGATTTTTCAGAAAATTAATGATGAGTTGTCAAATATTTAATGATGGTAAGGACAAAGTCTTTTTTATTATATTTTCTCTCACTTCATTTATGCATAAGAAAAAAGTACGGGAGATCCGCTCCTCTAGAGTCATGTCATTGTTTACCTTATCATCAGCTAATCGAATCCAGAATCGAACAGTGGCTCTCTGGAGTGGATCAACAGGAAGTAGGGGGTTCTGCGGCCACGTCTCGTCGATGTATTCGAGAATAACGGTGGACTCGGAAATGGGCTTTCCACGGTGGACGAGCACGGGGACCTGCTTGTGGACGGGGTTATAGTGAAGGAGCAAAGGACTTTTGTTGGCGAGATCTTCTTCTACATATTGGTAGGGTATGGCTTTGAGGGAGAGAGCCCAAATGACTCTGTAAACGAAAGGGCTTGACCAGTGGCCATGGAGTTTCACTTCATCATCCATTGTCAATGGAGGCTTTGAAGCACTTGTGATCCTTCTTTGGGACTATTTATTCGTGTGTTTGGGACTCTTTTTTCTTACACGGCAAGTTTCTTTGAATTTTAATTAGAGGGAATTGTATAAAATTTCGTTGACTTTGACTTTTCAACTACTCTTGACTTTTTTGCCTTGGTGGGCCACTAAATGAATACGTGCTAGTTAAGTTTGGACTTAAATAATTTGCAACAATTTGTAGTTTTTAATTGTTATTCTAAATCTTAGTTATTTTTAAAATATTTGTTTAGTTCTTTTTTTTTTTTTGTTTCTAAGAATCCACATTGTTGCTTTTTTTCAAATCCATAAATTAAAAGTTTAATTGAGATGGTGTAGTGTTAAGAATCTTTAAGTCTTGTAATATCATTTATCATAAAGTCTTTAATTCAAATCCTATGCTGTTGTTACTCAATTTAGAATGTAATGAATCGCGATTATAGGAATCCATGACGTAAGCTACACGACATAATTAAATTTCGAGATAAAAAACATTAAATTCAATTGATAAGTTTTGTCCTAAATAAAAAATCTTCATAGAGAGTTACAAAGCAAAGAAATGAGATCTAACACACATTGGAAGAGCTCACAAAACAAAATGCCATCCTTTAAACTCACCTCCGACGACCTAGGTTTCTTTAAAAGATGCTCTCTCAAATGTTTGAAAGTCATCACCATCCACTCTCGATTGGGACGATTCTCTCTAATCGTTGGAGCTTCCATGAAAGCCATGCTCCAAGCATGCAGCTGAGGAAACGAATTGGCTTCCATTACTTTCTCGCTGGTCACGTCTTCTATCACTCCCAACCACTCTACCAACACTCCATACGCCAAATCCACGATCCCGATTTTTTCACCATTGAAGAACTTCCCCTCGCCGATTCCTTGCTCTTCTAAGATTTGCAGCATCTCTAAGATCTCTCGCTTTGCCTTCTTCTGTTCTTCCCCTTCATAACATAACATTTTCCACACTACCGACCTCTGATGAAAATGTTAAAATCTTAATTCTTAAATCTAAGACGAATAAAATGGTAATCTAAGACGAATAAAATGGTAATCGTCCTAATCGTGAAACAAGAGTAAAGATTATGGGAGGATGTGATGGAAAATTTAAAGAAATATCAATTCATGATTATTCTAGAATAAATATCATATAATTCAAAAACAATCATAATAATTAATTTAATCCGGAAAGAAAACTCAAACCTATAAAAAAGATTAGAATTGGCTAGAAACATTAGATAGGATTGACCCGTTGTTGTTCGTGGTCTTCCTCAACTATACAATATTGATCTCTGTTTGATGGGAACAGGAGGCTCATGCAACATAGTGCATTAAGACTCTAACCATATAAATCATAGTGTTTTCCGTAACCGTTAAGATTAATGGGCTGATTTCTACTCAGTAGACGTACACACTAAATGGGAAGTCATGAGCTCACAATCTAACTTTTCTAACGTTGTGATTACCTTATTTTGAATAAATCGAATCCAAGATCGAGCAGCACCTCTGTCGAGTGGATGGGTGGGGAGTAGGGGATTTTGCATCCATGTCTCGTCAATGTATTCAAGGATAACATCGGACTCGAAAATCGGTTTTCCGCCATGGACGAGCATCGGGACCTTCTCGTGGAGGAGCAAAGGAGTTTTGTTGGTGAGATCTCGTTCAACAAATTCGTAGGGTATGCCTTTGAGGGACAGAGCCCATATGACTCCGTAAGTGGAAGGACTCGACCAGCTGCCATGGAGCTTCACTTCACCCATCGTAGGCGTTTCAGAAGTTCTTGTGATGTAATTTTCAAAGGGATATTTTTTATATAAATTGCCAATTATATTGGAAGACTTTTGACTTTGACTTTATCAATGTTGATTTAATTGAGTAGTTCGACTTTTGACTTTAGTGCGTAGAGGCGACCACCAATCAATGAAAAGAAGAGATGAGCGGAAAACTTCCAATATTTTTAAAATTATTGTTAGAAATATGTTTAGTAATATAGAATAAGAGTAATGATAACTAGCATCTAACATTTAGTTCTAACTTAAAATATTATTAACTGTTTGTTACAAATTTTGTAGAATAATTATTTTATGTTATTATATAATTTATAATATATTATATTAACTAGTTTTAACTTTTAACAATTTATAACTTTGAATATATTTATGAAAGTTTTTAAAAATAACAACTTTCTTTAACGTGATTTTTTACTTAATATATGCAAATTCAAGTACTAAATATATACTGACTCGAAGATTAAAGTTGGTTAATTCACATTTTTCTAATGCAAAATATATGGAGGTGTGGATATAAACTCACGACCTTTTAGTCGAAAATAAAATACATTAGCAATTATATTCATTATTCAAGTTAGAAGGTTCTTTTTTTCTTTTTTCCTTTTTTTAGTAGCAGTTCACACCTACTTTTCCACAAAATTATTAGTGAAGTCATTAGCATTAGCATTATCTTAATCTTGATATATGGTTCTATTGTCCACCAGTTATGATGTTGCATTATTATTATTTTTAAGTACAATATTGTATTTTACTATTTTTTTCTTTTTTATTAAATAATAAATTATTATCAAACGCCTTCCCAACCAATATAGATAAAAGCTCACTGAATCATATAACTACTTAACAATACTTAGATGGTGACTATTTGACCACCGCTCAAAATTTGACACCTTCTTCTATATTTTGAAAAATATGACATCTATTTTCTTTTTGCATCTCTCTTCTACCTCGAAAAAATTAATAGGAGTAAAAAATAGATAATCGTCAACACCTAAATAGTGAAAAATTGATAAATATTATTGTGTTAGACATTATTGTACCTATTTATTGGACCCAAAAGTTAAGTGTAGCATGTTTTTTAGAAATGATTTATTTCTAAAATTGTTTCTTGCAGCCAAATAAAAAGAAAGTATAATTTAGTGAAAAAAGTAGGAAGAGCAAAAAGTTCGATCTTGTTGGCTATTGTTGTAATTCTGTATTTTAAAAAGAGAGAAGTTTCACCCTATAACATAGATTTAATGTATATTTAAAAATATCAAAACTTTTTTTTTTCTATCTAGAACTGGACTTAGAAAATACCATTTTTGTAACATTTTTACTTTTTTATTTTGTTACTTTTGAAAATACATATGTTATTTATGTAAATACCTAAAAAATCTCTCAAAAACAATTTATGTCAGTTAAACAAAACTACGTAATAAATTAATAATACACACACACACACACACACTATATATATATATTATATTTATTATGGATTTATTTTACATTAAGGGTGCATGAAAATAAAAATACAAACACAACCGGCGAAAGGAAGATAAACAAAAAACAGAATCACAGACGAACTCTGCAACCGAAAGAAAAAAGCCCTAAAACGGAGGAAATCGAACCCCACGGATTTACGATCTTCATCCTCACGATTATTTCTTCAGAGTTTGCAGGAGCTGCTCCCTCCGGGCCTTGAACCGCGGCACCATCTGGTCGTGATCGGGGAGATTCTCCCGGATCACGGCGGCGTTCCGGAAGTTCTCCGTCCAAGCATGGAGGCGAGGGAATGCATTCGGTTCCAGTAATTTCACATCCACCACCTCTTCGACCACCGGCAGCCACCGCGCAAACCACCCGAACGCCAAATCCACCATGTTAATCTCGTCGCCGCCGAAGAATTTCTTGCCGCCGACGACGCCGAGTCCCTGTTCTTCCACTGTTTGCAGCACTTCCAGGGCCGATTTCCTCGCCTTTTCCTTCTCCTCTTCCCCTTCCGCCAGAAAAACTGCCCAAATCGCGGAGCCCTACCAAATCATAGCTTACGCCGCTTGTAATTTAACCAAAGGAAAGAAAATAAAATCAGGAGCGGGAATGACGAAGAAGTACCTTATCTTCAATAAATTTGATCCAGAACCGAGCGGTGGCTCTCTCGAAAGGATCGGAAGGCAGGAGCGGTTTGTGCGGCCATGTCTCGTCGATGTACTCGAGGATAATCATGGATTCGCAGACTGGTTTTCCGCCATGGACGAGCACTGGAATCTTCTTGTGGACGGGATTGTACTGCAGGAGAAGAGGGCTTTTGTCGGCGAGATTCTCTTCTACGTACTCGTACGGTATGTCCTTCAGCTTCAGAGCCCAAATTACTCTGTAACTGAAAGGGCTCGGCCAAGTTCCATGAAGCTTCACCTGATCCGCCATTGTTAATTGGATTTGATTGCAGTGTGTGATGAAGCTTTCATTGCTCGCGAAATGGTTTAATAGTGCGGTGAATCGGTGGGATTTCTTGTCCGGCAAGCTCGCAGTTGTCGAATTCTCTTCGACAAAACTAATTTGGATTTTGACTTGTTGACTCCTTGGAAGGCGAACCCTAATCGCGTACGTAAGCTCCTACGTTTTGAGGTTTGACAATGTCGATAAATTAAGGAAAAAATTTATTTATGCATGGCTTCTCTTGCCACCATTAAGAGAGTAAAGTATAAAAATAAAAATATTTTTTAAAAAATAATGAATTGTCAAATATTTGATAGTAGTGAGGACAAAGTTTTGAGCGACCAAGTTTTATCTTTATTTATTAAGTAAAATATTTAAGTTTGGGAATAAGTTCATATTTGATCCTTAAATTTCAAAAAATAAATAACTATTTGATGCTTCATCTTTATAAAATAATTTTAAAACATATTAGAATTAAAATTCAGTTAGTGAAAGCTTGACATGACATTTGTAAATAGAAAATTTATTAAATTTATATTATTTTTGAATTAGGCAGCATTTCTTTCCCTCAGAGACCGTTAATTTTATATTATTTTTAATGAGTTATCCTAAATTCCAATTCAATCGTTCGGTAAGAAATTTCTAGGATGAACCCGCATTTGGGGAAATTTATAATGTCCACATATATAAAATTTTAAATACAAATTTATACATAGAAGTTTCCTGGATACAATTTTAAAAGTTAGTGGGTGAAGTTTCATTATTTGGAAAGAAATGAGATAAATAAAAATTGATGGCTACATCATAATAGATACCTTAAATATATGGAGACTGAAATGAATAAAAATTAAGAATACATGAATTAAAATACATGTTTTGAAAATACAAAAAGCAAAATAAACTTAAATCGATTTTTTTTCCCAAAATTGATATAGTGGGATAACTTAAATCAAAATTAAAAAGACAATAATAGTATTTAAAGTTTGAATATTAATGTTGAGTTCTAGGACTCCTTGTCCAGCGTACCTCGATTACGTAAGCGGGTGCGTTGGAGGTTTGACAATGTCACTAAATAAATAAATCGCCTCCAACGTAAGCTGGTGCGTTGGAGTTTTCATGTCTTGGAACCCAAGAAAAGTCCACTCCACTCAACAGAACACTACAAAAACCGGTTTCCTCAGTACTCAAACTTCAAACTCTACCAATCAATCCTCCATTGAAGATGGCAGAGCTGAAGCTTCATGGAACTTGGCCAAGCCCCTTCAGTTACAGAGTCATTTGGGCTCTCAAGCTTAAGAACATCCCATACGAATACGTAGAAGAGAATCTCGCCGACAAAAGCCCTCTGCTCCTGCACTACAATCCCGTCCACAAGAAGATTCCCGTGCTCGTCCATGCCGGAAAGCCAATCTGCGAATCCATGGTGATCCTCGAGTACATCGACGAGACTTGGC